TTTAGTAGGAACCACATTAAGCACAGCCAGTGATATGAAACTAGCTACTTGCCACCAGAGTCTTCCATGCTGGTCGTAACTTTACCTTCTGGCAGGGAGCATCAAAAACACGGCATTCGTTAAAATGTACGCCATGTTGTGTGTGCAGGTGTTTCTGCATGTCTGCGGATGTTATTGCCACTTTGCAATGATTGCAAAGCGCCTTGTTGCCATCTTTCTCTTCTTTAAGATGAAGCCAAACTTTCCATCTCCTTCCTCGATGGGGCGCCATTTTTTGTTTTTGTTTTGCTTTTCTAGCCTTACACCCTGTGACGTCGTACTTGCTTACTGAATACCGTGTGCGTAATTTGCGTAAAAAACGTGACGTAAGTCGTGCTGCCCAGAGCGGCTCTGGTGCTGCCTGGAATCGATAAAGAGAATCGTTAGGCGAGCTGCCGTGGAATTCGGATACACGGAACAGGCTCTGAACAGGAACCGGTATTTGATTCCCATCTCTAATCGCCACCCCACCCCCCATAGAGGGGAACAGAACATCTCGCCTGTTCTTCCAGGCCAGCAATTCCCCTTAACGACCCCCCCTTTCAGGGACAGTATCTGTTATACAGGCTATCAAAGAACCCAAACAAACCAAACCTTTCAGAGACATAGACAGGTATTGCAGGCTAACAAGGAAGCTAAACAACCCCCATTCCTAAGGGCCGGACCCGTTCGTCCGGTTCAATTTGCATGTTTTCTAAAGCTTTGTTTTGGTCTACTCTATAAAGCCTCAAACTCAACTCTATTTCTGACATTTTTATCTGAAAAAGCTTCCTGGATGGAAGAGAAACGTCTTTAAACTTGGAAACAAAATCCAGTGGATTGCTTTTATTTTTACTTTTTTGGACTGACTATGACCTGGATGACTGGAAATCTTCATCAGCATTCTGAGATGTTTAAAAATCAAAAGAAATGATGTCAGGTGTGACCTGAAAGGCCACTCAGAGAGGAAGAAGCCATTAACCTAAAAGCCACAAAACAACAGGTTGCTGTTAGCAAGCGGACCCAAATTCTTCGAGGCATCTCCCAGCATCCGATGAGAGAAAACAGGAAGCTGGCAAGTTAAAGGCAACCGACATCACCCCTAATGAGAGACACAAGAGTGGCGGCATGATTCTGTGGGGGTGTTCTTTTGCACGGTAGACTCAGAACTCTAAACACATTAAAAAAAAAACGCTGAAGTTTGGCAACCGATGGGTCTTCTAAAAAGAATCACGACATCAAATTAGTTATAAAATGATTTAAGGAGAAGTCTTTGCTTCTGAGCAGCTGCTCCAAAGTGCTAATCACAGTAAACTAGAAATCAATTACCTTTGGTAATCCTAACTAACC